AGTTAGTGGTTAACACTACTCTGCAGCACTTACCTGTTTTCTGCAGGTTATTTCACGCTCACGCATGACATTTGGACATGACGCTTAAGTTCATGTACCTCCCCTCGACTGACAAGTATGGGTTCAGGAGTTAGTGTATGTCGCTCACGGCTAGCGACATAAGAGAGCACTTAAGCAGAAGTAATTTGCAGAGGACATGCCGACAGCGTCTGCACATTGACGGAGGCAACTAGGTGAGGTGGCATAGCATTGATGGTGTCACAATTGCTGACACGCTGAGGCTCTGCCTATCCATGGTCTGATGCTACTGCCTCGACATTGTCCGAGATAGCTCCTTGAACCGTATTGATGTAACACACGCCTCATCATTGCTTGAGCTCCCTCATTGCTTCCGACAGCGGGTACAGGAGTACAGCCGTAGCCAACGCAGTCAAACAAAACTCGAAGCCCAAGGTACAAACCAAGACTCCAGACTTCACGATAACTCGAGCATCCACCACTTCGAAGTGCTCGCTACGACCCCACGGCACCACTATCCGGCTTGGTCAATCGTACTCGCCGAGTCCTCTGTCGCTGTCGCGTTGCCGTCACCTTCAGGGGTCATGCTCTCAAGACCTTGATCGCTAAGTTGCTTGGATGGCCGACAGACTCTCGGACAGAGAGAGATTATTCGGGTGCCCAAGAAATCGCAGGGCTCCCTGAACGGCTGAACCCTACCAACCCTGGCATCATCATCGGAACAAATCGACCATCCCTTCTTCTTTTTTCCTTCGATGCAGATCAGTGAGCTTCGATGCGTCGATACGGCAGCCAAACCCTGCCAACGTCGCCTCGCTTCCGTTTCTGCCTCCTGAGATGCCGCACGTCCCAGTCTGCCAGAGATATGTCCTCCCGGGCGCCCCAATAGTGTTGCAAATATCTGCCATGCTGAAGGCAGGCGTCCGGGTGCGACGTGTCTGTCGTTCCCCGTGAGCTGCTCCTGTGGTGGATGTGTGATGGTACCTCAATATGTGTCACCCTCTCGACACCACCAAGCAGAGCGGGCAGACACTTTGCAAACAGCAACAAGGTTTGTTTGCTGACATTCTGGCGCGCAAGTCCAACGGTAAGGTAAGGTATGGGGAATGGCACGTGCTCAACCAGACGAATGGTAAAGGACAGGGGGGTTGACGCTCTGCTTCCCTGCAGTGCACTCCTTTAAGCGGCGTCCTTCGAACTTTCTCGCTTAAGGTACGTCTCCCACGCACGCAATCGCTCGTTCTTGACTCCTTTCCATAACGACAACCACCGCATTATTATTCACCCATCCTTGGTCTGCCATTCTCGAATGAACAGGCCAAACCATGCTATCCAACTTCGCTGTCCTTGGGTCATCCTTCTTCCCGGCACCACTTCGAATTGCTTGCGCTGTCTGCTTCCCGTTTGTGCCGTTACCGCAATGCGCTCTTGGTGGAGAATCCCAAGCACATGGTGAGCACACCAGCGCACTATGATTACTCCCGTCACCCGTGTTCGTCTGAAACCTCCGCACCTCTTTCGGGAGCAAAAGTAGTATCCGGAACCGACAGGTTGAATTACGGTGGGCCAAGCGGCAGGAATGATGCCTGGTACTGTGAAGCTTCTGAAGCTTGTGTTGATTTCGTTTGCGGTGGACACCAAACAGACGATGCTGTCGAAACGTGACAAGATTACCGGTTGATAAACCTAAAAGGCGTTTTATATGTCAAAGTACTGGACACAGAATCATCGACAGCAAGCCGATCGCCAGTACGTCGTACCCCTTCCCCTCGCACCGCTCCGTACGCAGCTGGGCACGCTTGGTTGTTCGCTTCAGGCACTGGTGGACTGACTTTGAGGTCACAACTGTTGGGTGACGACACCAGCAAGATCAACAGCTGCTTTTGCAGCCCGAAAAAGGGTTGGCAGGGGCAGCACATGGCCAACTGGACACAAGGAGGGGCATGAAGTTGGCTGATTGGCTGTGGGCTCTGCCTTATGTTCCTGACTGCAAATCGTGGCCTTTTTACGAAGTGCTTGGTATGGCGCGCCCACACATCGTTTTGCCCTGCCCCTCTGAACGAACATGCTTCTGTTCTGCTTCTTGCTCGGGAAAAGATACGAAATGAGGGACTTCAACCCACGCCAGATAATAGTCTCATTATAGCGGCTTCCAAGTCATTGCATGAGCGAGGGATCCGTCTACACGAGATACATGAACCGTATTAGAGGTAACATCGACATGAAATCCGAGCTATCATCTTCTGCAGCAGATGGCGCTCCTTCTTGAACACGAACGAATTGGCACGTCGAACGTGCCTGGGCATGTCCACTTGCGTGGTGGTACAGTATCTGCATCCTCCTACGAGTCCTGTGGTTCCTCGTTATTATTGCCCCTCCATGTGTTTTCATCCACTCGATGGAGTACCGAGCCTGTTAAGTGTATTTCCGCTCTTCTGTCTCGTTACCAAAGAGCTACGTGGTTGCCGTGCCGTACTTGAACAGAAACGCAGCGCAATGTGACTTAATCTGCTCTGCATCTCGACGCGCGCTGCAAGAAGATAAGAGAAAAGGAGACGGAGATGGAGTAATTGGAATGATCTTGCAGTTATGCATGATGTTCCGTTGCAATCCTTGTTCTACGGTATGAAACACTGTCCCACATATTTTACAATGACGCGCTGCTTAATATCCCGAAAATTCGACTGCCGCATAGAAGGAAGCGGTTCAAGTGAAGCTCAATCATCGTAATATCGTTCTCTGTCTCTGTGGCCTGGTTTGTACCAATGGCCAGCAGGAGGTCCAGGGGCTCGAACTATCAGAAGATACACGTACAAGATAAGCAACACTACTGTGATAGATGCTTTGTCAATCCCCACGATCCCCACGATCGCACACAAGAAAGGCCGGCGGACGCTAGAGGCAGAATCATTTTCATTGTGCCAACTGCGTTGATTTCCTGCTGATCGATTATGAAAGGACGGCGGTGAGTACGGTCGTGTCGAGGCGCCGAGGGCCTGCTTTGTCCTATTGTTGGGTTGGCCAGCGAAGCAAATAAAAGTCCTCGGGGCCCCTGTAAACGAGTCTCGTGAACAATCTGATAATACTGGAAAACGAACGCCCCATGCAATGGCATCGTAGAGCGGTGTACAGTAAGACGCAAGAACGACGATGACTGGAAGAGGAAAGGTGTCGAGGGGGCTAAGGACGAACCAGGCGGTACCACACGGGGGACGAGTTAGATGCAAGAATAGAACTTGGACTGAGCGAGGAGAAAAGTGCTGTTTATTAAAGTAATAATAGCTGCCGTTGCCTTTCCTGCATTTGTCAAGTCCAGTACCACCCCAACCAAAGCCATTCTTGCACTGCATTCACAACGACCACGGTACCTTTCGAGTGGTATTTTGATATCCAAGAGATACTTATTTATTACCACGGCCCATCCCTTGCCGTTGGATCACCCTTGACCTACGATCGGTAGTCCATTCTCGGATTGATTGCCTTCGCTTCTGAAGCTTTACCATATCCCATCCATCCCTATCCGGATTTACAAACGACACTTTAGAGGTACCAACCACTAGCGGACCTGGTTGCTGGTCATTCACTCGACCTCTGCCTATTACTGCCTCTGCGATTACTGTTTCCGCAGGACTTCTTTACACATAAACTGCCTAAGCAACAACCTTTAGTTTGGGCCCAGGACTGCGGCGGTCGAAACAATAGCAGCCAGTGCCAGCCACAACCACCAGAAGTTCAGCACCGGCCCATGACCAACACGAGGCCCAACTCGAGAGTTCCCTCATCTTGACCAACAAGACGTGTTTCGACGCGTGGAGGCTGCTCCTGTTTGCCCACGAAAGCCGAACGCGAAAGACAAAACCAAAGTCAATTCGAATTGGCTCATATCAGCCGTTTCTCCTCGACATCGCCCTACGAGCGAAACATCACCGCATATTGATTATTGTCCCCACGACTAGGCGGACCCGGCCCAGCGCGGAGACTAGGTGCTCCAGCAGCACACGGTAAGCTAAAATTACAGCAAAAAAAAAAACGGCCTCCAGCGCAGCCTAACCCCCCTAGGCTACCTTCGTTCCCCCCAACCGGCCGCCCACCAGGTACCTTTCAACCATTCACGCCTAGCGCAGGCCCAACCCCGACTCCCGACGAGCTCCCTCACCACAATTCCACCATCAAAACCGACCAGATCCTCCTTGCTCGTCCTGGCACCAAGGCACCGCACCGCATCTCTCGCTCACCCACTCCACGCTGCACCGAAATTCGCTGACTCCACCAAGCCACTTGTTTCCACCAGCACCAGCCCAGCACCAGCTCACTGACCACCCCCCGAAAGCTGGTATTTGCGCCCCTACAAAAAAACACCCTCTCCTTTCACCACTCACCACTCACCACCGCGCTCAGCTTCTTTTCTCCTCCACCACCACCTCCTTCACTTTGATCCCAAATTATACAAATTTTATTTGCTCGACTTCTGCGATCGTCGACGACCTCACACGTTCCTTCTGCGACCTCGTTTGATCTGTCCTGCCTGCACGCGCGTCTGTGACTCGGTGCTCGACTCACTCCCTCGTCATATCAAGCTTCACGACCACACACAGCAGCACGCAACGAACCCTCCCTGGTCTGGGTAATACTTTTCCTCCCACGCCCACCCCTCGTCGACGACCCTCCATCCGGTCGTGTGCATACACTGCATATTCTTCATATAGCGATCGATCAAAAAGTACCTGCAACATTGTCCCGAACAGACCATCACGCCCGTCTGACGTGGATTGCAAAAAATATCTAATTGGCATCCGCCTTCCCCGTACCATTCCTCGAATTGCGCCCAACCAGCTCCCACGTTGCCTTCGACCAGACCATCCCCCAACGACATGCGCTCAATTACAGGGCAGAGACTTTTCTCATAACCCTTCTGCTCCTTATCTGCCGATTACCTCTCCAAGGCTGCGCCATTGGGCACTTTTTGCCTTCCGCGGATGACGATGACTTCAAACTCCTCGAGTCCGTCGCTCAGGGCGACTGCAGCTGCGATGGACCCCCAACCTACCTCGACTCCTATGAAGCCCGCGTCCTCACGATCTTCCTCCACCACCAGACGCTCGAGACCCAGCCATGTACAAACGGGCTTCCTCCCCCCCATATCTTCCAACTATTCCATGCCGAGCTCTGCGATCAGTGCATCCTCGATCACTTCGAGCTCGCTCCAAGCATCCCCGATCATGTCTCCCGAGACGGCCCAGCTCACCACCAACAACTCTTCCATTCAAGGCTCGCCCGATGGCCCTCGTGGGCGTGAGTCGGACTTTCCTCCACCTCCGTTCGAGCTTCCCGAGTCAATCGTGTCGCGCAAGTCAAGTCAGAGCGCAATGAGCGAGGCCATGGCTGCGAGCAAGTCTCCTGGACTTATCCGGAGGTTGTCCAACAGAGCGTCACAATTCGCCGGCCGCCGACGCCAGTCTTCCACCACAGCAATGAGCCGGGATCACAGCAACGGCCCTGTGATCATGCGACGGAGGAGTGATAGCACAAACACAGCTCCGGAAGGTCGCGGTGCCATGTTCACCGATTCGGACTCTGATGCGAATGGCGACTATCAAGAAGGTTATTACCTTGCAGGTACAGAGCCGGCCCGGGATTTTCCAAGCACCACATCCTCGATTGGCTCGTCGACAATAGCAACCTCACCCAGTGGGGGCGGCGCTGGACCCGTGATACCTTCGATACTACTTCAAGGTACCAAGTTGACCAAGGTTACCAAGAAGAAGAAGCAGCTCCTCACTTTCGTCTTGGAAAATGAGGCCGCCAAGGTGTCCTGGGACAAGAATCGGCCGTCCAAATCTTTCTACATTGATAATATCAAAGATATTCGAATTGGTGCCGATGCATCCAATTACCGTCAAGAGGTCGGACTGCCACAGGCCGATGAAGCAAGGTTCTTTTCCATCATCTACGTCAATCCCGAGAAGTCAAAGAGCAAGCAGTCGAAAGTTATGCATTTGATTGCGGACGATGATCAGACTTTTGACCTGTGGATCACCACACTCGACGCAATTTCCAAGCACCGCCAAGATTTGATGGCATCGTTGTCCTCGTTCCACGACAAGGCTGTCCGTTCATACTGGCGAACGGAGATGAACAGGAAATTCCAAGACCGACCACATACCGAGGACGAAGAGGTGATTGATGTCGTCGGTGTTGAACGTCTCTGCAAGTCGCTTCATATCCACGGTTCGTCTTTACAGCTGCGTCTGAAGTTCCAGCAGGCCGATTATACGAAATCTGGACGCTTGAATTTCGACGAATTTCAAGAATTCGTCAAATTGATGAAGAGACGAGAGGACGTTCGGGCCATCTATCGTGAGATTGCAACTGATGCCAGCAAAGGGCTGACTTCGAACGAATTTTTCAATTTCCTGACAGACATCCAAGAGGAAGACGTCAATGCAGATCAGCAGCATTGGGATGGTGTCTTTGCTAAATTCGCTCGCCGCTCGAAAACTAAGGAACAAGCACAACAAGACCTCATCGATGGCGAAGTTCCTCGTATGAACGAGGCAGCGCTCAGCAGTTACCTCATCTCTACCTTTAACGTTCCTCTCCACAATGCTCCAGCGCCAAACCTAGATCGGCCGATGAATGAATACTTCATTTCCAGCTCCCACAACACCTACCTACTCGGCCGTCAAGTCGCAGGTCAATCTAGCGTTGAGGCATATATCTCAGCGCTCAACAAAGGGTGCAGATGTGTCGAGGTTGATTGTTGGGATGGAAAAGATGGACCAGTTGTTATGCATGGACGAACTCTGACAAGCCAAGTATCCTTCCGCGATGTCATGACAACCATCAGCAAGTACGCTTTCGTCAAGTCACCTTATCCTCTTTGGATTTCTCTAGAGGTACACTGCAATCCGCTACAGCAAACCATGATGGCTCAAATCATCAAAGAGACTTGCGGTTCGAAGCTGATCACCCAACCTCTCGAGGATTTGTCGACTGAGCAACTGCCAACTCCAACACAGTTGATGAACAAAATTCTCATCAAGGTCAAAAAGCCTCGTATCACATCCGAGAACGAGGTAACAGAAGTGGTAGCCGGGCGCAGTCGGGGAAGCAGCTTAAGCTCGCCATACATCCGACCCCAGCAAATGGATGGCTCAGCGGTCCCAAACGGATTCCTATCTAGTAGTCCTTATCCTTCGCGAACTGCAAGAATAATGGGCCGGAGCCAGCCCAAATACTCAGGCAGCGAAGGACAAGATAGTCTTAGTAGTAGCACTAGCGATAGTGAAAGCTACTTCGAGGATGGTCAAGGAGCAAACCGAGCTTATCGCAAGCACAAAACAAGTAACATAGTCAAGGTACTCGGTGAGCTGGGAGTTTACAGCGCTGGGCTCAAGTTCCGTGGTTTCGACGATCCAGAGAGCAAAACCTACAACCACATCTTCTCATTCATGGAGAAGACCTTTGACACTAACAGCAAAGACCAAGAAGATAGACGTGCCATCATGAGACACAACATGCGTCACATGATGCGAGTCTATCCTAACGGGTGGCGGGTTGCTTCTACCAACTTCGATCCTCTCAGATATTGGCGACGTGGAGTGCAGATGACTGCTTTGAATTGGCAAACTTACGATCTCGGTATGCAGATGAACGATGCTATGTTCGCAAGCGGCAGAGATCAATCTGGCTACGTTCTCAAACCAAGTGATCTCCGCGAAATCAAGATGATCCCAACTCTCCCTGAAGAAGCTGGCATTGGCCACGTAAAGCGGGAGCGAAAGAACGTTAACTTCTCCATCGATGTCATCTCGGCACAACAGCTAATGCGTCCTCCACCCAAGGCACTGGCTCCACACCGAAGTGTTGATCCTTACATCGAGGTCGAGGTCTACCATGCCGATGATAAGGACAAGGATAACAAAGGTGTCATTGGCGAAGGTGGACTCGATGCATCTGCCCGCGATTCTACATCAGGACTTGGCACTCCTCATCGACGTCGGACACAGATCATTCGTGAGAATGGATTCAACCCGGTCTTTGACAAGAAGTTCAACTTTGACCTTACTACCAAGTATCCGGATCTGGTCTTTGTCAGATGGACAGTACGATGCTCGCAAGACGGTTTGAATTACAACGACAAAAGTCCTATCCTCGCCACATACACAGCTAAGCTTAGCAGCCTTCAACAAGGTTATCGAACTCTTCCGCTATTCGATGGCAACGGTGATCAATTCTTGTTCTCCACATTGTTCTGCCGCATCAAGGTTGAGCCAGTAACCAGTATCTATGTCGATGGTCCAGAGGGCACCATTGAGCGGGAAGGCGTATTCAGAACTATCCGTCAAACCGTCTTCAGCCGCACTCCAATGTCACCTAAACCCTCGGTCGACAGTGGCTCTTTCGAAAGCCAAACAAGGCAATAAGATATGCCCACCACCAATCACATTCAAGGATGTCGAAACCAACTGTACAAAAAGAATTATGTATTTCAGCGAGACAACCTTGTACTCATACATCTCCTTCTACCATTCATGCCATCCATTTGCATGGCTCTGGCTCTCATTTCTGCTTTCATTTTTTCGAACTTCCAGGCGCAATCGAGTTAGACGGACTCAAGGGATATCGCATACAAGGGGGTCACACATTATACAGGGAAAGGGAAACACAAAAGTGGCTCGCGCTGCGCATTATTTGCATTTCATCGAGGGCATCAGCATACCATCATCACACATCAACGGCCAAAATTTGTCGCCACGAACATTCGTCACTCGCTTATCTCTTTTGTATCATCTCTTTCTTGAGTACGAACTTCGATTCTTTGGTGGACTTTTACCTCTTCTCTACTAGGAAGTAGGAGTTTTGTTGGACGGACAGCTGCGCTGGTGGTTTCTTTTACATCTGGGACTGGTATCTCTTTTTTTGCGCTCTTAACTTTACGTTCTTGTTTCTGTCCTCGTCTTCGGAATTTATTCCATGACAGGGCACAAAATCTCTTCAATACCCCGGGAACCAAATTATTGTGTCACCCTTTTTTTTGCTTTTAACATATTTTGAAATTCACAGCACGTTGGGCGTTTTGAAAATTTTGAGAATAGCGGGCGTATTTATTGGACATGAAGACGATATGAAATGTTTTTCATTAGGGATGGGAGGATTTGCTTTCCCCCGAGTTTCTTAGCGATGGGTGGCTGGACTGCTAGCTGGCTTGTGCTGGCAACACTTTTTGTATTTTATATTATGAAGCGAGGGATGGGTGGGTGGATGGATGGTGGGGATACGATCGCTCTTGAAGAGGGCTTGAATCGATGATTATTTACCATTGAATCCGCGTTTGGATGTGCTTTTTTTGCTTGAGCTTGACGTAGCTGAGTAAGGGTGGAAAGTGTATTTGAAGGAGAGCTGAGAGGGCGTGTAAAAAAAGCATAAGAGAGCAAGACAGAGATCCAATCGCAGTGACTGGACGATGAATGGGTTGGAACTGGAATGGGATAGTATTGACGGATGTGTAGTTCCGTGCAGGAATGAAATTGAATATCCCGTTTCCCCTGATTTGTATCTATGCACGATATACATCCCATATATATTCGGGATGTGATATATACTCGTTATAACTGCCTCGGACTAAATATATAGGTGTGTGATGAATCGGGTAAGGTAACTTTATATAAACACTTTAATCCTGTAGAGGAGAGCAAATGTCAGTTGAAGTCTGAAATTTTCCTGTTACTTGAGCTAGAGAATTTTCATTTTAGTGTTTTGATGAGTAGAGATTGGAAGGCCGATGAGGTTTTGTTTATGGATTAGAAGATTATGTCTAAAGAGGTATAATACCTGAAGATCTGTTAGGTTTTGCTTTATATGTAGGATGTGTATCAAAGCTAGCCATTTTCTAAGTTCAATAGATAGCTAGATATTGAAAATCTCAGGCTTAAATATATCCGTTTCTCTTTCCAACGTCATTCATCTTCCACTTTAGTCTATCTACCCTGAATTTCAGTTATTGGTCTCAATATCACTCACCACAATCTACTCCAAGTCAACACACTACATCTTACGCAAAAACGCACCAACCCCAAAAACTCTACTCTATTTAAAACCCACCACCTCTTCTCGCCTGTTAAATTCTGGAGCTCGACATAAAGATTCTATTATTTCGGTATTTTAGAAACGATACAAAGACCCTTTTCCATTTTTTTTGGCAGGCCAAGTGATATAGTCGTGCGATTGTGTATCTAACTACCCTTTTATGATTTCGGGAAAAAGGGAGTTGCATGTGAATTCGGGTGTAGGAAAGATGTGGTGGTGGCTAGTCTGTCGCCTAGCTCTTACAGAAAAGTATGGGTTTTTCTTTTAGGTACTTTTGTGTCTTAAATCGGGTGTGCAGAGTAGTGATCTGTTATAGCCCTTTTGACGAGTCAACTAAATACAGAAGCGCTACGTGTAAGCGGGTCTTTACTAGTACTAGCTTTGTGAAGGGTATCAATACTTTAGGGGTTTGCTAAAGCACAGCCGACATCTTGATAAATAGAAGTCGTCACCTGCCAGTAAATTTAGGGTTAGAAGTATAATATTATTCTTTAAGCGAGCGAAACCCGATATAGCTTATTAATAAACCTTATTCTTAATAGGTTTATATATCTATTCTATAAAAAGAGCTCGAAAAGCTCCTAGTTATTTATTGTTTATAACTAATTTATATCTAAAAGTCTCGTATTTTATTACTACTTAATAGTACTCTAAAACTTCTTCTTTACTTTGTATCCTCGTTTCGATAGTGTATAAATTAGGCCGTTAATTACTACCTTATAAGTAGAAATAAGGGTATAATCATGTGACGACTTCTCTTTATCAAAAGGCCGACTGTGCGTTAGCAAACCCCTTACTTTATAGCAGTGCTGGTTTATGTAAAGGGAGTCTTTCTTGTTTGTGATTAGGAAACCCTTGATTTAGGCAGTTGCTCAGCAGATACTGAGAAAGCACGTCCTGGGAGTAGGGTGGCGCCTTCTAGACGTTAAACCCAGAGGTTTATTGACATATTAGAGACAAAAATGAGTGACCCAAAGGCGCAAAGTAAAGGTCGAGAAATGGTTGTTCAAGAATAGAAATTGGCAATGCACGGCAGTCAAGTTCTGATAATTCATATTCATTCATTCTCTACCAGCTAGCCATACAGGCGTGTTGACCAACCCCATCACACCCCAAACGCCCTCCCATCAGAAGTTACTCCAAAACCCCAGCAAATCCTCAGCGTGCAGAAGGCAAAGGTCTCGGCCCACTCGGTCCCTTTCCCCTCGTTGCCAACTGTCCCTCCTCCCACTCCGCCTGCCTCTGCCTCTCAAGTTCCATCTCTCTCTCCAACAAACTCTTGCTCGCCCAACCTCCCGCTTTCGTCTTAGTCTGACTCGCCATGCGTCTCCGATCCTCCGCGTCTCGTTCAGCAGAACTATCGAAACCGCCGATTTCATTCGAGTACGTGGTTTTAGGTTGGGATGGCGCGGGCGCGGGGTTCGAGGAGAGGTATTTGTCTGTGCGGTTTTGAGGGGGAGAAAACGGGTTAGGTTTCGGTGTTGAGGGTTTAGATGCGTATTTTGCTGGGTCGGGAAGGGGACGAGATCCCGTGTTGTTTTTTACGAGACGTGCTGGGGTTGTGGGCGTTGGTAGTGGCCGGGGTGATTTTGATGGAGGTGGTGGTCCTTGGTCTGTACTTGAGTGAGAATCATTCCATTGAGTACGGAGGTATTCTCGTTCATCTTTTCGCCATTCTTCGTCGCTATCTTTTTGTGGCGGTGCTCGTGGACGGCTCCGAGATCGATTTCTCGTTCTCTGGGCATCTTCCTTCATATGCAGCGCCATATCATGATTCTCAACGCTTCGATGGCTCTGCCGATCAGCCTTGGCTTGCCGTTGTATCTGATATTGATGTTCCCGTTCTCGTGCCTCATTTAATTGTCGTTCCAGATCTTTGATACGAGCAAGTTCTGAACCTCCTACACCATTCTTCTCCGCTCGATAAACTTCAATACTTATGCCCCTGCGCAGAGCTTCCCTTTCATCTTCTTCATTTTCTTGCTGTTTCCTACGAGCAGCATCACTATCTGCTCGTAATTTCTTGAGATCTTCCATATGCGCCCGTTCTTCTTCTTGTCGCCGCTGGTTTTCGATCTCCCATTTCTTCTCTTGCTCTGCCCAGCGACGCTTTTCTTCTTCGATTCGCTGAGATTCCAGTTCGTACGCTCTTCTAGCAGCAGCAGCTTCCTCCTCTAAGCGAATACGTTCCTGTTCCATTTCTTCCTGCCTTTCCCATTCCTTCCTCTGTTTTTCTTCTTCTTCTGCTTCGGCCTTTAACCGAGCCTCTTCTGCTTCCTTCTCTCTGCGCAATCTCAATTTCTCAGCCACATTAGGTACATTTGGCGATGCACTTGTAATTTGTCGTCTTCCACCAAATGATACACCCAAATTCCCTTGACTCGCACCTCCCATATATCCATACTGTGCAATGTTCCATGCTGGGGCGGTGGCTCCCTCGTCTGATTTTTTACTCCAACTACTAACACCACCCTGAGGTGATACTGGCGTACCGCTTTTCTTCGTTGGGCTCCATCTTCCTCCGTTCGAATCGCCCGTTCTTCTCGGCGTCAAAGCGGAAGGCATACTTGCCGATGGAGTATACGACGTAGAGGAGTTGCTGACTTCTGAATTTCCTCTCCCTCGTGAGCCACCATAACTTCCCCCACCAACTGCCCCTCCAGTTCGCTGAGGACTCATAGGCCCTCGTGATCCTCCACCAATCTGATTTGGAAATTCTCTCGGTGCTATTCGATGAGCTGCTCGACTAAATGCGCTGATGCACTGTAAAACTTGCGCCGGATCTTTGGATTCGAAGAGGTCGACTGTTAAGAACACATCGTGAGATTGGAGATTAAATGGTGAGTTTCTGCATGCCTGGAGAAACAGGGAGATATTTTCCATCTGTACAAAAGGCATCACAGCACGGGTTTTGAATTTCAAGGTATTTGGAGCAGCAAGGTTAACCAACCTGGAGCATTTGTTTTAGCAAGACGGCAAGAGAGAATGAGTTACGAGCCCTACCTGCAGAGAGCTACACCATCCTTTAGAGCATCAAGCAGATCAGCTTGCTGTAGACGTTCCCCGAGTGCTTCTTCGATAAAAGTTCGTACTTCCTTCGCGGCCTGGGGTGTATATCGGTCCATGCGCAATTGGCGCATGTCCTTGTCGAGGGAGGTCACCGAGGCCATGATTGCGACCAATGTTTTCGTATGAATCGCAGAAGTACGGAAAAGGTTGTGGTGTAAAAGGTAAAATCGTATGGACTTATGGTGTTGGTGGGATGTCGACGATGAAGACGAATCACTGAGGCGCGGCGTGGTCTTGCATGAGAGTACGTGCGAGTTCGAGGGACCCGGCTAAACTAGTGGCAGAATGACATATGCGGATGTAGAAAACAACAACAACACATTTCGCTCGCTGGCACATTATAAGTCCGCACTACAAACATATCGAGCTAGCTTAGCATTTCGTGATATCTATCATCGCTAGGTGGTGGGTGAAATCGTTGGATGTCAAGAAAGCAGCCAGGCATGTCAGAGATGTGAATTGAGGTGCGACGGAGCAATTTCATCAGAATTTCTCGAAAATGATGTATACCAACATCTGCCTAACAAAGCTCGACTTTTACTTCAGATCAACATGCCTCGACGAGCAATTTATGTTAGCAGAACCTCTTTTTCAAAGTATGATGATACGCTGATTATGACTATTGATTAAAGCTCTAGCTCACCAGTGTGTTGCAAGTCTGACGAGACCTCCTTACGGTAGAACAAACATATTCTAGAGAGAAATTTAAATTTACTCCATCCTTTTTTTTTGGGTAAGCATACGTTATTGCCTCTATTGCGAAGGGCAAATATACCTCTTAGGAAAGGTGCATGTTAAGAACGTCGGTTTCGCATTACTACTACACTTAAAGGGAGTTCCTTCAGTCTCACCATACACTGGTGATTCATGTCAACCCACGAATTTGTCGCTGCTGTTTATTGATGTTATTCTTTTCATTCACGGAGACATTAAATCAACACTTCACAACATTGGATATAGACGGCTTCGAAATCAGCTCCATTCATAGAACTGCCAAATGAAATTTGCCAAGCATTTCAAGCCACGTTAAAAGTCTCAGACCTCAGCTGGAGTTTAAAATGAGAGATTGCTACTTTCAATTTCTATCTTTACTATGAGTTTTTCATCATTCGAGCGCCAAATTGACGTACATATCGAGCTCTTCCTTTTCAGTATACGCTAGTACCGGCATCATGATTTATGTACTACCTCCCTTACTTCTAGCAGCCTTATTCACACAATCAATCTTAGCGTCGAGTGCCTTCAATCCAGACTGTTCATCCCCGTCAAAAGTTGTGAGCTTTGTATCTTCGCCTAGCGTCAGAGGCACATTGGACATCCTATGGAGTGCCCTTTTCACCATGTTGATCTGCACCTGGACAGTTCAGCATCTAAATCTCCCAGCACAGAGTCCCGACTCTCTTACTGGCTCAAGCAAGCTCCGAAGAACTCTCAAGCGGGCCTGGACTAGAGTAAAATGGATGGTCATCACTTTGATTGCACCAGAGTTCCTTGCTGGAAAAGCTTTTCAGGACTTCATGATGGCACGAAAGTCTCGTAACCAAATGAGGAAGTTTGTTGGTACAGACTGCGTTTCGTGGTCTTTGGCGCACGCCTATTACGCTAATATGGGAGGGTTCATATTGAAAGTCGATCCGGAGGCATTGATTAATGCTGAGGAAGCGTCATCGCAGGTTTGTCAGTGCCAATCCATCACTGCCACCAAGAGCACAGTAGACGGAAGCGAGGTCAGTGAAGGGCTCAATGACAATACTGCTCGGCAACTCCAAGAACCTCAGCTTCTGCCTCAATCTTTGCTCACCGTCACAGTCGATGAGAAGAAAGAACATAGAGCGCCATCCGCAGTGTGTGAAGAAGTGGCTCCTCCCTTGATAGCCTCCAGCTCCAACCCGAAAACTCACATCAACGAGATTTCGACTTCAGATACAACGTTGGAAAATATAGGATACGCCTACCCAAGTGCCGATCAGCTATATGCACTGAGAGAGATGATGGTTATAACAAGCTTACCAGATGTGTCCGTACGAGAAATCGAGGACAAGAGCAAAGGCGATGCATTCGTCAAAGGGACGACAGTACTCCAAGTCCTCTGGCTCATTATCCAGGTCATTGTACGAGGAGCAAGAGACATGCCAGTCTCCCAACTTGAGATAAGCGTCATCGCATTCACAGCCTGCGCGCTCCTCACATACTCCTTTTCATGGTCCAAACCACAAAATGTCACTGTCGCAAACCTCGCCAGCGACTCTATAATCAGTCGGGAGGTGATGAAAGCGCTCGAGGACAAGACGAATGGTGCTTCATGGTCTCAGAACCTATTTCTGGGACGTGATGCCGATATCTTTAAGCCAATTCCCAACGATGCCGAATTTGATTGTCTTCCCAGTAGCAAGTTCCTGACGCTCTTGGATCTCGGGATAGTCATCGCAGGAACCATATTCGGCGCAGTACATCTCATCGCGTGGAACTTTCATTTTCCGACTCCATTGGAGGGTCTCTTGTGGAAACTAGCAAGTGTATACCTGGCCGCAACCTTGCCTTTCTGTTATATCAATGCCTATATATTCGAGAAGCTGGGTTGGCTAGAAGGGACCTTCGAGAATTCCGGAGGACTTTCTAAAAACATGGTGTTGTTGGGGAAGTTTGTGGTTTCTTTGCCTATCATATCTTACGTGCTTGCCCGCTTGTGTCTGATGGTGTTGATCTTTAGATGCCTTTTCTTTCTGGATCCGAAAACTTTCATCACGACTTGGGCAAAGGAGGTTCCCCACGTTCGATGAAGTAGAGTTGTCACGTGACTGCAGTTGTCGCAAATCTTCATGAGTTTCTCCAGTACTTCTTTTCTATGGGATGCTTTTGAAGTATTGGAAAGTAACATCTATATATTTTATCATCCAATAAACAAAATATCGGGAAAGTATTGATCGTTTGGTCACATGTCTCCTAAGCTCGCGTTTTCAGCCCTTCAACCCCTGGTGATCGCAACAGGCCTTCCCCGCGTATTTTGGCGAGAACGACTTTGGTTGGCACGGCACGGGCCTCAGGCTTGAGCCCGGAAGCTCTAGGGCGAAGATCCTCTGGCGCTCTTTCTCACCCTTCTCACTCTTCTCTTCCACACCTTATTCATCTTTCTCATCCTTCACCTTCACACCACACCAATCCTTCACCTCCATCAATAACTTCACCTATGTACCTCAACATATATCTCAATTAATTCTTTTCTCAGCTTCTTTAACCTCTTAGTCTCACCAAGGCTATCACTTACTCCTAATCATGGTATCCTTCGACCAATCATATCACTCTTCTTCACCTATTCTTTCTATGCAAGCTCAGCATCCACCACAGCCTGCCTTTATGACAGAAAACAACTCCCTCGCCTTCAACTCACCTTTTGGTGATTATAGGAATCCAAATTCTTCATCCGCTTGGCCAACTACACCACTAAAGAGCGCGTTATCTTCAGCAGCTGGGCGCAAGCGCTCGCGCGACGAATCTGACGATGAATACTTTCCAATCCAGGCGCATACACCACAAGCACCCATTGAAGATGAGGAAGAGTGGGAGTACGGTGAAGGCATGACCTTGATCAAGCCCAATCGTGCCGGAAGAGCGATCGAAGCGAGTAGCCAAACGGGTACTTGGGCAGAAGAGAAAGCCGAACAAGAGAGAGCAAAGGCGCAAGCGATAGCACATTTACAATCAGTAGCTCTCTCACAGCCAAGTCCAGAAAGGCCAATGCTACGCGCAACCAAAAGCCAGCGCCTCGATTTAACAGCTACGCCATCTGTTGTAGAAGAGGCTATGCAGAATGGAAATCTCCCAGCCGTTTCGGCGCCCTCGCCAGAAAGAACAGCACTCGCCGAGCCTACAATCGATGATTTCACGCGACACTTAGGCATTGGCTGGTCATTGATTAGTGCCGACGAACATATCCAAGCCGCTGCGCGTGGGTGGACCAAATTCATCGAGAACCATTTCCCGATTACCAACGTTAAAATTGCACTTCAAAGCAACGGTCTTGAAAGCTACCTCGTAGAAGCAAATGAGGGATATTTCTTATTCGGCGACGATTTGAAGCAAGGGCGGTTGGTAAGTACGAATTTGGAGAAAGTGTGGGCTAACCTCAGGGGTCCTGTTCCAATGTTCGACGGCGAAGCGACCATGACAGCCGGCGATACACCCAAAGCACCTCAAGCAACAACACCAGCCGACACGACCATGATGACCGACACGAGTATGGGAGAAATCAACAGCGCCGTTAACGGAGGACAGCAAATCCTCGCGCCAGCTACCCATGAAGCCGTCGAAGTCGAGATGGATATGAGCTGAATGCGGTCCAAAACGGTATTTGTTTTCGTCAAACGGAGTTCGTTACAGGTTTGGCTGGGAGGAATCACTATACAGGTATTGCATTTGGTTTATGGAATTTATCTTGCGTTGGGTGAAGGCACTTTAACGCATTTATGTATATCAAACGAACAGGAGGTTGAGCGGTCCATGACTCCAAAGCATCAACAATATTGCTTTGGTTAGCGCTACTATTTAACAATAAAACTACTATCAGCGTTATCATGACTCCCTTATACTGTCAAACAAGCTTAATACTTAATGTGTCCGATATAAATCTTTATGCACATTCCACTGCGGCTACCGGCGGGACGTCGCCCAGCTCCTGATCCATTCGTGATGGATGGCCAGCAGCGGCCGCTTTCAGATGCAAGTTTGAACGGTGACAAGCCACTCTCCAATAATCAATCGCAACCATGATTAGACAGAATCCGGCGAGGGGTGCTTGCGCTACTTCTGGATTGTCTCTGGTTTCCATGCTGCAAAGCCGAGATGGATTGGTCGAGCGATTTCGGCACAGCAAACGTCTTGCAGCTCTGGATCGCCACTGCTGAGCGCACATGAGCCTGTCCCTGTGCGCGAACAGCTCAACGCGACCGCAAGCAGGTAAGAAGAGATCTTCGTCGTTGCGGTAGGCGTCTTTTTCTTGTTCTCTTATTTACATAGCTTGTACAAACTGCTTCACATCGCGCATATACCTCGTTTTCGTTTTATCGTTATTTTCGTCGTGACTTTTGCACCTGGCTTCGCGACAACAGGTATTGTGTGACTCCCGGAAGCCTCTCGCAACGCCGAGGATCTTTGCGCTGCGGCTGCGAAAGGCAACGAGTTTGTGCTGTGCGCACACGGATTCAAGAAAGCTGCAGAAGGACGATTGTATACGCACTCACCCGGCAGACAACTGCATTTCTACTTGCACGTCTGCGACAAGGCTTGCTTGCGCAAAGATGGGATGTTGATTTTGGTAAGAGCTCGCGTCTCCCCCGCGCGGATGTCAACAGAGCTAATTTCTCGAGTAGCATTCTGCGTATGACGAGAAATTTTACGAATAATGGTGTCGCAGATGGAACTAGAACCCCATAATACCGTTGTGAGGAGGGGTCCTTCGTCGGTTGCGAGTTCGTCAAGGAGACATGGGAGATCAAGTCGACATCACAGGAATGGAAGCTTCGTCTCGAATGAGTTCCCAGAATTTACGCATACTGGCGATGTGGAAATACTGGTGAAGGCGGGCTCGAGAACGAACCGGTATCTGCTCCATCGACTCATGCTGACCCAATGCTCTGGGTTTTTCGAAGCGAGTACAAGTCAACAATGGTCGCGAGCAACAGAGGAGCCGCCAAGAAGGGAATTGGCACGGATTGGAGAAGATTCTGGAAATGAGCTGGCGCGAAGAGAGGTCAAGAAAAGATGGATATACGAGTTGGATAGCGGAACTGGGAAGGATGATATACCTATGCTGGTACAGAAGGATAACACCACCGCCTCGATTTTTGGCTCAAATGATGGCCGGCCACCTATTCCAGCGACTCGAAGCAAGCCTCCGTCCTCCAACCCATCATTCTTTCGATCAGTAGCCAATCTCAGCCTCTCACATGCGCCAGTACAATCACCAATCTCACCCGAAGACCAAGATCTCCTCACGGATTACGATAATCTATTCCGCATTTTCTACAACTATCCTCCCGCACTCGACGCAATCGATATAGCTTCAGCCTACATCCAGTGCAAATCTCTCCTCACCCTCGCGGATCTCTACGACGCTCTCTCCGTAGTCGGGCCCCGAATCGACCACCACCTCCTTCAATTCCAATCCCGCCTCTGGAAACAAATCGCCAAATACCCTCCCTCGTACCTCAAACTCGGCTATCTCGCCCAAAGCAAAACCATCTACCAAGAAGCCCTCATCCACGTCGTCGGTGCCTGGCCGTCAGGTGAACGACATATCCGCCACCAACTTCCCGACGCTGTCCTCGAGGTGATTGAGAACAAAGTCGAAGACCTAGAAGACATGGTCAGTCGAATCGAGAGCAAATTATTCAGACTATGTCTCGTGACGAGTCGAGGCGAGAGAGTGAGCCCGCATAACTCCTACCTTGACTGGCTAGTCATAAGTCTCTTCAAACAATGGCTCATTGACGCAACCTCTCCTCCACCACCACCAGCACCGCGCACCAACCCTCCTCCTTCCAGATCCTCCCACACCCATACACGACACCCATCTACCCATTCCCCTACTATTTCCGCCACGCACTCCAACGCCCCATCTACCCCTCCTCTTTCCACTCTAGGCCACACATTCCGACGCCTAGGCTCCGCATCCCCAACATACCTTTCTCACGACGAATGCAAGCGGTTCCTGAAACTCAGTCCTGAGTTGTATTCAAGAGAGAATTTGAAGAGATTTGAAAGGAGAATGGACGAAGTGAAGGGTCTTGCACGGGAGATTGTGAGACCGTTGATGAGGTGCGGGTTGCAGGGGGGACCGGCGGAGGGGGTCACTTATTTGACTTGTACGCGGGTTGAGGAGAGGGATTTTGTGTGGTTGGAATAGAAGTGGACGTGATGGTTATGATGTTTTATGAAAATTTGGGAAGGATGGTTTTTTTTGGTTGGATACCCTGATAGTATACGAGTGTTGAATGGCGTTGGGTTTGGCTATTTTGTTGGATATCTAAGGCGTTTGGATGTGTGATCTAGTTGTTTTGTATGTAGATGGCTTTAAGATTAATAAGATGTATTCTTACTACAATTGCAATATTTAAGAATGCTCAATATTATCGACACGATTTAGCGAGACCGTGAGGATGTTGTGAGAATTAAGTTTATAACTCCATATTAAGCTTATACACAGCCCTAAACTCCCTTACATTCCATCCTTTCCAACTCCTTCCCAACCAACTCCAAATTTCCCAACTCACAAATCAACTAAATCCAAAACCTCAACTTCACTCACCCTCCACCTCTGCCTTCCCGCCCCAGCCCGTTTACCCCTCCCATTCCGCCTATTCTCCTCCAACTCCAACTCCTCCTCATCAACCTCCTTCCAACCCCCCGGAAGTGACTCCCTAAGTACAATGAATTTCTTCGCTTTGGGTTTTGGTTTCGAAGTCGATGGTTTGGTGGTTTGCGTTAAGGGCTCTGAAGGTGAGGGTGGTGGAAGCATTTGTGATATTGGTGGTAGTGAGGAGAGTGGTGAGGAAGGGAGGGAGAACGGGTCGTCTGGAGGTGAGATGGGGGAGGATGTGAGGATTATTATATCAGTTGTTGGGTTTGTTGGTTTTCTTGGTGTAGATATTCCGCCTCCATCAATCGCAGAAAGATGATTATCGCTGTTCTTCTCAACTCCCTTCCTCCTTCGCGCCCGCGTATTGATATTAGGACTCCCCATAACATCAGGCCCATCGAAATCAAGAAGCCGAGCTACACTTGGAAGTTCGGGAGAATGTTCTAGACTCTCTTTCCGCGTAGAAGGCGTCGAGATTCTTTTTCGTGGACTGGGTTTATGTATATCTTGTGGTGCTGGTAGCTCGTCATCGGAAATCGTAGGAGAATGAAGATGTTTTCGAGCGGTGCCCGTTCCTGCGTTTTCGAGTAGAGAGCTAGAGGGAGGAGTAGATAGTGGACTTGATGTTAAGTCGATGGAGAGGGAATGTCTGCGGAATAATGTTGGAGGAGGTGATTGGAGTTTATCTTGGGTGGTGAGAGCTTTGGTAATGGTGGCGTTGCTGGCTGCTGAGTGACACATGCCGCTAGATAGGGACCATGGATTTGCATTTGGTAGCGGCTTGTTTTTGCCTGATCGGGTTCTGGCCTTTGAAGGTGGTTTTGATTTGGTGGTAGTTGACGCGAATGCTGCATTTGTTCTACCCTTGGAACTGGACCTATGTAAAACAGATTGCGAGCCTGCAAAGTCGTCAAGTGAAGGTGCAAGAAACGTAGGAGGTAAGTTTACTACGTCAATGCTGGGTGCATCCTTCTCCATAAGAGAGTTGTTGTGTTTGGTGACTTTAACGAATCTATCCATAGCTCCTTTCTGGACAACCTCTCTCGTAACTTTAGGCGCTTTGGTTTTCTTTGCTGCTGCTCTTTTAGCGGCCGCTTTTTGCTTCAAAAACTCTCGTGGGTCCCTTTGCGAGCTTTCCCAGTCTTCAACAACTAATGGCACTCCAATCTTCGCCATCGTTTCTGGAATCCACAGCTTGTCTGGTACATTCGGATCGTACTGAGATCCTGCTCTCCTGTTTATCGGCGCACTTTCCTCATTGTCGTCCGACTGAAATGCTTCTTGGTCACCATCGCCAATAGGTGCCAATCCGTCTCTTCCATAGTCTTCAGTATCATCTGGTTCAGCGTCGAGGTCAAGCCCAACAATGTCAAGTGGATGGTAGACCACTCGAAGCTCTGGAATACCATCTGAACTTATGTGAGTTCTTTTCCCACAAATCGCTCGTACCAATTCCATTTCGTTCATGGCCGTCAGTATAACATCTCCGAAACCGGACGCTCTACGACTTGCTCGTACACGCAGCTTATGTACCAACAATACAGGTGCAATTGTCCGTATGAATTTCTTGGCTCCAACAATACTGGTCCAGTCGAATGCCTCTGCCACAAACAGTCGCAGGCCGGGAACATCAACCTCCTGATCCCATTCGATTTCTGTTTTGAGCTTGGTAATTTTGCTTGCCGAAGAAACGACTGGATGGGTATAGTAGCTCAAGACTTCTCTGTTGGGAAAGTCTTCGGGAATTTTGAGTGCTTTGTGTTTGATTCTGAAGAAATTATTCTCATTTGTCTGTATCTCGTGAGCCAAATTGTTCCTCCATAATTCAAGTCCAGCAGCATCTCCTCGTGTTAACCCGCAAAGCGATTTACCAAACCCGGCTCTAGCAGCTTCACATGCAACTTTGGGACCGCATCCAGGAATCCCTTCGGTGATGTAGTCACCGCCACTCATGAGAGCAACCAATATCATACCTTCACGGTCGAGTCCAGATTTCCCCTGCTTCGTCTGTTCGGCGTAATAAGCCGAAACGTGAGTGGGTGTCTTGTTTCCTCGTACATTTTCTGATGACCAATTTTTTAAGGTCAGGCCACATCCGAACATAATAGTGTCGACATCTTCACTGAGCACGGCATCAACGATTCCCTCTCGCTGTAAAAGAGCACACTCCGCTTCAGCTTCACCGGGAGCTGAATAGAATGGGAACCCAAAAAGTTTGAGCAGTTGTTTGGTCAGAAGGTTTGGGACCATTGCACCACCATGGCCAGTCTTCTTTCCACGTTTGAAAGGCGGCTTATGAGGGCCATCAAATATGAAGAGGGGCTGAACTTGCAATCCCAACAATCTGAGCAGCCGATAGTAAAGAGTTCTTATGGCTGGATTGCTGCCCCCTGAAGCAATATTAGTTTATATCCAAGAAATTGTTCGTTGTCATTGACCTACCTTGTCCAGCTTGGATCTGGAATTGCCAAATTGAGATGTCAATTGCCACCCTCAATGGACGACCATTCTTCTCATAAGCTTCTACTGCTAGCTTTGACAGAGCTACCCTCTCCCCTGGCCCAATTTCAGCATAGATGCTATGGTCTTGTCAGCTCATTCAACAATTCTTTTTGAATTTACGTACCCTTTAATGCCCATAATGTCAACAATGCAATTTCTTTAGCCGGTAGCAATGCATCATACACTCTTATCGATCACTAATTGAATAGCTATGCAAGAAGATCTGAAATATGCTAAGTGAATCGAGGCTAATTATATGCCTGTTATACACGTGGGTATCATGTCTTTGGAGGTTCGTTGAATAAAGCTGTTTTGGTTAGGCCTGTTTCGGCTGTCTCAAGTCGGCATGGAAACGCCAGAGAGAGCCGATAATCAACCGGGGAATCTTGACCATCAAACGCGACCGTGGATATAATTCACGGTCGTCACAACACCATATATATTTCATTCACTGGTGTAGGATTGGTAGGGCAGCGAGAGCTGCATCTATATATTCCAAATGTCGAACACACAGGGTCCTGCCCACCGAAATGTTGCAAGTATCAGATCCCCAGCGGGCAATGCAGGTATGCCAGCAAGTCCCCAAACACCAATTCGTGGTATAGCTTCTGCATTTGGATCGCCATCTGCATTACGCGCCGAAGAAGATCATGTCATAATAGAGTTGGGAAGTCGGTACTTTCGTGCAGGTTTCGCGGGCGATGCGCTCCCAAAAGCGGTGGTAGATTTTGGTCCAGAGGCGCAAAGGAGAGCTGGTGATTATAGGAGATGGGCTGTTGGTTATGAGAAGGAATGGCAGAAGAGGGTTCGCGGCAAGGAATGGGGAGAGGCACACGAATTATGGAGTCCTGATCTTCGCGAACTCAACCTGG